GGATAACATTTAGCTTTTCCTTGCAAGTCGCAATGAAATGTAACAAGAATAAAAACAAAAACAAAATTAATGCACGTGAAGCGATTAATCTTATTGCTCAAAATAATCAGCGATGCTATTCGATTAAATTTGCAATTAAATCTTGATCAAAATTAGAAAACGTTGATGGCAGTAATTTACAGTAGAATAATCGTTTCGATTTTCGTCATGGCAGGAATTTCCACGTTTGGAACGAAGTATGGATGAAGCGACTGGATCTGTCGCCGGATTGTTCGGGATGGCAGGCGATCGACGTGACTCGTCGGGAACTGTGCGACGGTGCTTACTATTGCGGACTGGCATCGGTAGCCGCCGTGAAGAAGGGAGAACTCCTGCGATCCTATGACAACGCGTTCTTTTTCGCCGAGGTACGCGCCAACAAAGTCTACTGGCGTAACGGTCGACCGAAACAATTGTTACAGTTTATTCGCAAGGTTAAGTACAGGTACGCATGACAAATTATCTGTACTATTAATTATAATCGCGATTATTGGATTGATTGATTGCATTGATTGATGAAACAATGACAATTTCGCAGTACTGGAAGGCTGATCTGCACGAAAGCAGTTGGCAGATTGGTAATGGAAGACATCACACACACTTACAAGTATTCAAAACGTAAGTGAGATATAAGAAAATATGTCGCAATCAGGTTGTTGTTTGCAAGATTAAATAAAATAAACTTTTGATAAAGGAATAATTATTTAGCCCAATTATTCCTTTATCAAAGATTTTAATAGGAATACTTGGCTGATAGAAATCCTGTTATGATTGTAATTTTTTTCAGCCCGTAATAAAAAGAAAGTTTATGTTATTTTATTGACTACTACTTTATCTGAACTCTCATAGTTTGATCGCGTTGCGATCAATGTACTATTTCAGTTAAATCTGAAATATATTTATTTAATATGACATCGCTACTAACTGATAAAAATAATTTTTAATGTCAACAGGATCCGAAGAACATGGTGTTATGCTAAATGCACTGCTGCGCCAGCGCGAGACTCCATATGACTGTTGTTACCTGAATGAAAAGTTCAACGATGTTCAATTCCTTTTTGAACTGCGCGATGACATCATGATAGGACAGCCATTCAGGTATTTAATTTGATTGAATTACTTTTTACTATTTCTGCAAGTGATCTTTAAATAACGTAGCGATTGCTTAATTGCATGCCAAGACTACGTAATATAGTATTATTAATAATTAAGACATATAAACGTTATGTAGAATTCTTCAAATTTTATTTTCTTTCAAAATTTTATTTAAATATCTGTTTTATCGCTTTTTTTATCGTATTCTTCTCAGAATTTTTTTCACTTTTTGGTAGTGTCATATTACTGACAAAAAATCAGCATTCGAAGCTGGAGTATCGTGTGTCTATAATTTTGAGAGTGGAAACTGTGCTATACACCGGCCGAGGAGGCATTCTGGTGAAGAGATTACACATCGACAAATTAGTCCGATCAGGGATGCCTGAAGAAATTCGCATGGACGTTTCTTGGGAGGAATACGGTCCAAAATTGTTAGATCAATGCGCTTTCAATATCACTTGTCTCGCCACCGTGCAGAACATAGGCTTCGAGTATTTTGCGCAGGAAGACTTTCGCGTTAGAAAACCCTACATTGAAATCACGGTAATTATCGAAATACGCGTAACACATTTGTGGATTAAGATAAAAATACTAAGGAGAGAAAATAAGAGTATAATAAATAAATGTGTTACTTAAAATTTGTAAATAATTTTTTTTAGTTGCATAACGATGCGATTGTTGGTCAAACTCTTCATGCTACGGCGAAGTTCCGCAATTCGTTGCCGATTCCTTTGAAAAACGGTAGATTCATTATCGAGGGTCCTGGTCTGAACGAACAGTTGAAGCTCAAACTATCGGAATCTGTCGAGGTGGATGCAGATGTAAAATGTAGCTTCTCTATGATTCCAAGATTAGAAGGACGTGCTTGGATAGCGGCAAAGTTTTATTCGAGGGAATTAGAGGACGTCGATGGACATTCCAATAGTTTTATAGTTAAATCAGCGAAGCGATAATCAATAGTAATACTAAGTAATCGCAATTATTTTTTATAATACTGTAGAATATATAATGTAGAATATATAGTGTTCTTTCTATTTTTATCTTCGATTTATATATACATATATACATTAAGATTTGTATTTTTAGTAATAGTAATAATTTTTCAATCTAGCGAGAACACTATATAGTTATCGTAAAGTTATTGAAGATCAAAGCAAAAAGTGTTATTACGTTAAAAAAGCAAATGCAATACTACTTATTTTGTTAAGAATTTCATTTTATATCATAGAAAATACTCATATCAAACTGCTCATATAATACTCACATTAAGAAGTGCAACATATTAATTTATTTATTGCAATTAATTCAAATACAACAAATTGGAGTTTTAATTGTAAGTTAGCAAAGTATGTGTAGGTATGTGTGTGTGTGTTCGCGCGTGCACGCGTCTTTTCATCTATTTATTTTTCATGATAATCGTATTATACTATTGTCTATGTATTCATAGGATATAAATATTCACAGGATATTTCATAAGATAAATCATTTATGTAAGATAAATCACAATATTAATATATAATATGTATGTTATTTTACATAAAGAAAATAATCTGTGACTTATATATTTTATTGCATTCACATTTATTCATTTCTACTTCGATTACAATCTGACCTTTTATTTCTCCATATATGTACACTCGTGGACAGAATAGTTGCAACACTTTTTTAAATTTGATTTCGGAATTAATATTTTGCAAATGCGAACTACGATTGGTGTATTATCTTTAGTCTAGACTTTAGAGACAGTACACCAATCGTGGTTCGTATTTGCAAAATATTAATGCGTTCCGAAACTAAATAAAAAAATGTGTCGCAACTATTCTGTCCACGAGCGTACCTTGTCCCAATGTGGCTGATGCTTATTTATACATACAAAGTATAAAATTTTTATATTAAATATTATTACGAATTGACGTTAGAAGTCGATAACACAACTGTAATTTTCGAAAATTTTCCATTTTCATACATAATAATTTTATCCGCGTTTTGTTATTGCCTATACTTTAATTTTGGAAAAAGATTTAAAATTTGTAGAAGTAACGCATACAAAAAACTTGTACAAAAATTTTGCGTTTTATTGGTAAAACAGACAACTCCATCGCCGTATAAATTTTTGGATGTCGCTACTTGTGTTTCGCTTACCTTAGCAACTGTTTGGAACGCACTTTTTAGTCGTGGAGGGGAATGTAGTTTAGTTTTGTGTCACGTTTCATTTTCTCGGAAGGACAATTATTTTTCCTTTGCGTATATCATTTAATTCTTAGTAGTCCGCTTTAGTTATTGGGTTTGAATTTCTATCAGCGACTTCGTTTCATCAGTCTCTCGTCGTTGTTCGATTTGTTCAGTTCTGCAGTGCAGTTACAATGTCTTTCGGTTAGTGTTTGTGGATTTTATTCTCAAAAAAGATTAACCGGAAGTTTCTGGAAGATCTCCCGGTAGTATTTACCGCACAGAAAAAAATTAATCTTTAATCAAACTGGATATTTTTATATATACGCAAGAATATTCTCCTTCGAAGATTTTAGTCTTGAACTGAATGACAAAAATACTTGTACCAATATAAATTCAATCAAATTAAGAGATTAGAACCTTCTAAGAAGGTTATGATTATTTCTAATTTTCTACTAGGCCTAGAAACGATAAGATGTTTTTGAACCTTTTTCGACATCGGAAAATATTGCATGACTTTTAATTTAAACGGACAAAATCCTATTTTTCATTATTATGTGCCTTAAATATATTACTTTTTTTTATAAGTATTCGCATTTCTCAATAATTAAATCAGTAAAGAGGCTTCAAGTCATCAATGGCGCAATTTAATTCCGAGATATATTTTACAAATATTCGTTATTTAATTGTTGTCTATAATGTTAACATTTTTATCAAAACCGAATTCGTAACTTCCAGTTATTAGTTATTGATAATTTCCTTATCCTTTTGTATAAGATATTCGTGATCCTTAATAATGATGTCATTCGCAGAGGAAGATGGCGTTCCAATATCGATTCACAATGTGGATTTTTGCATCAAGGAAAACGGCAAAAATCATCGGACTTCTAGATACGAGCTGATGACCTGTCAGAATGATAGAGCAAGACTCGTTATCAGACGTGGTCAGGAATTTTATCTGCACCTCAATCTATCATATAAACATAACTGTTATTCTTCCACCGACAAAATTGTTATCATCTTTGCTCTGGATGGCGTAAGGCCACAACTTGGAGATGGGACGCTAGTAGCAATTACACTGTGCGATTCCAGGCACAATTATTCCAATGACTTTTGGCAGGCCTTCATAGATTGCCGTGGAACAAATTTCTTAAGAATAAAAGTAAGTAGAGGAACGTTGGTGAAATGCAAAATCTAGCGAGTGTTCGTTACCGAGAATTTAATTTCGATCTTAGGATTTAATTTTATCCATTAGACAAATATGTAATATCAATATAAAACAGATTTATAATTATATTAAAATTAAAATTTTTTTTCTCTTAAAGTAAAAAACTTAAAATAATCGAATTTGTATATTGAATCGTGGATATCTCGCGAATTGTAATATTAAATTCATTGACAATCGTCATAATTAATTTGGGAATGTCAAGCGTACGCGTATGAAGTGAGAGAAAATTAAGACAAAAAAGATTTCTTGTAACGAAATCCTTCATCTTCAGGTTGTGACATCGGTAAATGCGATTATAGGCAAGTGGAATATGAATATTGGTACCTCTCGCAAGAATTTCAGTAGTATTGGCAGTTACACGATGGATCATCCGTTTTATTTGATCTGTAATCCGTGGTGCAAAGGTATGTGTTCGCAGATATTATAATTCTTTGTTTCCTAACGAAACGTCGAGCAGCGTCACAATTTACCGAACTTTTACATCGCTACTTTTATATTTAATAAATAATAATAAATATTTTTCGATTAGATATTCTTGGTTTAAACACATATTAAGGAGTTGAAAATTATATTTTAATACATTGTTACCATGCAACATATAAGTACGATATAATGCACTAATTCTCATGAAAGCCCCACGTCTCACATGTTTGAAAAATTATTTAACATGCTCAGTTTATCTATTTCTAGAGTTATTTGTGCATAATGGTATACTACTAAAAATAAAAAGTAATGTATAACAAAAAAATAAAGAGAAATGTATAACTACTAAAAATAAAGAGTATGATCCATAACGGTCGATTTTCCAATCGCACTGTAGTAGCGAATCTATTATAATGTTGTCCTAAGTTTTACAGAATATCTTCCGTTTTCAGACGACGTGGTGTATATAGATAACGAGGCTGAGCGTCAAGAATACGTGTTGATGGAGGATGGTTTAATTTGGCGTGGCACTCACAATCGTTTGCAACCCACTATATGGAAGTACGCGCAATTCGAACGGGACATCTTGGATTGCGCCCTGTACCTAATGAACGAAGTCGGTAAAGTTCGTGTTTGCGGCAGGAATGACCCGGTTATTATAACGCGTTGTTTATCTGCCGCGGTAAGCTTGGGGGGATAAACTTTCCTAGTAAATTTAAGCCGCATTTTGAGAGAAATGATACTTAAAGTATGCTCTTTTTCTTAGTGTACGAGCAAAATTTTGGAATTTCCAGATTGATAAATGGATCGTTTTATAGGTGAACTCCCCCGACAACAATGGAGTAATGATGGGAAAGTTAGAAATGACGGGAAAATGGTCAATCGACTACGTCGATGGTATACCACCTACGAAGTGGATGGGCTCGCAGAAAATACTCCAGCAATATTACGAGACAAAGGAACCGGTCAAGTACGGGCATTGCTGGGTCTTCTCCGGTGTGCTGGCGACGATTTGTCGTACTTTGGGCATACCATGTCGAGTGGTGACCAACTATTCGAGCGCGCAGGTTACTCAGAACAGCTTGATCGTGGAATATGTCGTTGAAGGTGTCAATATCAAGGAAGAGCTCAGCGATTCCGTATGGTAATTTTAAGACGGATAATATTCAGCTTTTGCTTGAAAGTCACAATGAAATGTAACAAGAATAAAAAAAATAAATATTAAATGCACATGAAGTAATTAATCGTATTGTTCGGGATAATCAGCGATGCTATTTCGACTAAATTTGCGATTAAATCTTAATGAAAATTAGGAAACGTCGATGGCAGTAGATAATATAATAGAATAATTGTTTCGATTTTTGTCATAACAGGAATTTCCACGTTTGGAATGAGGTATGGATGAAACGACTGGATCTGTCGCCGGATTGTTCGGGATGGCAGGTAATCAACGCGACTCGTCAGGAACTGCGCGATGACGCTTATCGTTGCGGACCGGCATCGGTAGCCGCCGTGAAGAACGGGGAACTCCTGCGTCCCTATGACAACGCGTTCGTTTTCGCCCAGGTGAACGCAGACAAAGTCTACTGGCGTTGGCCACTTGACAAAGTATATAATCCAAAATACTATGGACCGCAGCAGCCGTTAAAGTTAATTGGCAAGGATAAGTTCTGGTACGCATGACAAATTATCTGTACTATCAATTGTAATTGCGATTATTGAATTGATTGATTGCGTTGAATAATGAGACGATGACGATTTCGCAGTATTGGCCGGCTGATCTGTACGAAAGCAGTTGACAGATGGGTAATGGAAGACATCACACACACTTACAAGTATCCAGAAGGTAAGTGAGATTTAACAGAAAATATCGCGCAATCACGTTGTTGTTTGCAGAATAAAATAAAATAAAATTTTGATAAAGGAATAATTATTTAGTCCAATTGTTCCTTTATCAAAATTTTATTAGGAATAATGAAGCTGATGGAAATCCTGTTATGATTGTAATTTTAAAAAATCTTTATATTTATATCAGTATTGTCCGTAACAAAAAAGTTTGTTATTTTATTGATTACTATTTTATTTGAACTCTCATAGCGTTACGATCAATGTACTGATTCAGGAACCACTGGGTCAGCTAAATCTAAAATATATTTATTTAATGACATCAGAATAGCTACTAACTAAGCCAATTGTAAGATTGATAATAATTTATTTTTAATGTTAATAGAATCCGATGAAGAATGTGCTGTTATGGTAAAAGTGCTGCGCCAGAGCAAATTTCCAAATAGCTATTATCTCAATGAGGAATCCAACGACGTCAAATTCACTTTAGAACTGCGCGATGACATCATAATTGGGCAGCCATTCAGGTATTTAATTTAATTGAATTAACTGTTCCTGTAAGTGTTCTTTAAATAATGTAGCGATTGCTTAATTCAATTGCATATCAAGATTTTATATAATAATATAGTATTATTAATATGACGTATAAACATTATGTAAAATTTTTCAAATTCATCTTATTTTCTTTCAAAATTTAATTTTGATATGTTCATCTATTTTTATCGCTTTTCTTTTATTTTATTCTTCTCACTTGGAATCTTTTTTATATGCTGGTAGTGTCATATTACTGATAAAAAATCAGCATTCGACGATGTCGAATCGGCATCGTGTGAATGTAGATTTAATTGTGGAACCTATGCTATACACCGGAAAGAACTCTTACGATGATATGAGGACATACCGCAACATACAGTTCCGATTAGGGAAGCTCGAGGAAATTCGCGAAGACTTTTCCTGGAAGGAGTACAGTTCAAGATTGTTGGATCAATGCACTTTGAATATCACTTGTCTCGTCACCGTGGAGGACACAAACGTTGAATATTTTGTGCAGGACGTCTTCCGTGTTAGGAAACCCGACATTAAAATCACGGTAATTATTGAGATACGTATAACACGTAAGATTTGTGGGCGAAGATAAAACTAATTGTAAAGAGAGAAAATAAAAGTACAGTAAATAAATATTTTACTTTGTAAAATTTGTAAATAATTTTTTTTAGTTGCATAACGATGCGATTGTTGGTCAAACTCTTCGTGCTACGGCTAAGTTCCGCAATCCGTTGCCGATTCCTTTGAGGAAGGGTAGATTCCTTATCGAGGGGCCCGGTTTGGACGAACAGTTGAAGCTAAAGCTATCGGAAGATGTTGGGGTGGTTGCAGACGCAAAATGTAGCTTCTCCATGATACCAAAGTTAGAAGGACGTGCCATAATAGTGGCGAAGTTTTATTCGATTGAATTAGACGATGTCGATGGATATTCCAATTTTATAGTCAAATCAACAAAAATCAATAATTCTTAGTGTTTGCGATTATATTCTATGATACTTTAGTCTATATATATATAGTGTGGCGTGTCATGTTTTTTTAAATTTTTATTTTCGATTTATATACTTATACATATTTTTAGATTTGTATTTTTAGTATTAATGTAATAATTTTTTGCAGCAGGAACAGGATAGTTATTGCGAACTTGTAATCTTAATTATGCAATTGCTTGATGCCAGAAATAGAATGTAATAGTTTAAAAGTTGTAAAATTAATTTTTTATAATAAATTAAATTTATTGTTTTTTGAAAGAAAATAAAAAAAAGCGTAAAAATATACCTAAATGTTAAAAAATCAAATGCAATACTACTTATTTTGCCAGAAATGTTATATAGAAAGATGTAGGAGAAATTATAGAAGATAACAATAAACTTATAATTTAATTTTAATACTTATTTATTTGCTTTTACAATTAGACCATTGACGGACATGGTTAATCAGTTGACTTTGATTATTCTTCCTGCATCCTTTCCGCTTTTATTTTTGCGATCTTGCGTAATTGTCAAAAACGATTTTCGTTGTTTCGACACATGATCGATCCAAATTCTCCAAATTATAGTTAAATTGCTTCGGCAATTGTCACATTTTATTGTTACTTTTTTTAATATTATATGTTTTTAAATCTTATTGCTACAGCTCTTATTGTTTTTTTTATATGTGTTTCTAGATCTTATCGCTACAACTCTTGTTACTTGCGACATTTGTCGCTTATGATATTTGGCTATTCGTGACAATCCTTTTGGGACGGTCGACGTTCGGTCTACGATCGGTGTCAGAGATCGTTCCGAGGCGCATTTATCTCTATAAATTGCGAGCCGCTTAACAGACGCGGATATCATTGAAATAACGACGGGGAATATCGTCAATACCGCGCGTTTCGCGCGATCTCGGCAGAAAGAGAAAGAGGGATCCCACCGCGGCCATACTGTCCTATTTCCTGTCGGATCGTATTGGCATCGCGAGCCCCCGATGATGAATGGCGGACGTTTAAGGCGAACGTCAGTTACTCTTTTAAGAAGCAACTGCACGAATGGGGTACCGGTCCGAGCCGCGGCTTCCGCGGTGGGCACCAGTAAAAAATTCAATCGACAGAGACTACCTGGCGGCCGATATTAACGACCGGCAATCGAGAGGGTCGCTGTGGCGAGTGCGTGATTATTCAGAGAAGAAGAAGACGAAGAGTAAGGACAGGGACGGATACGTGTAAAATTTAATGGAATCTGACTTTGGGCCTTCTGTCGACCCAAATAATCTTGTTAAACGGAAATATACATAGCGACTGTTTAAAGTTACGCGGCACAGTTCACCTGCTCGAAGCTGCTCTTCAAAAGTCTCAAAAATACAGAGGTGAAGGATGAGATAAAAATTAATCTGACCATGCAATGCTCACGAATTTAAAATATTTTTCCATATATTATCTTTTTGTGTCACAAAAAAAAGATATTACAGTGCTTGATTATATAAAAACATGATAGCAAAAGATATTCTTTTATGCGATTTATAGAGTAATAAGGCGATTGATATTTAACTCTATTTAACTTTTTGTCACTCGATTGTGTTCTTGCTACTTGATTGTACATACGTTTGGAAGCCTTCCGAAGCTGTTAGCTTCGGATATAAGAGGGAACTTCGTCATTCGCCCCTGAAGAGAGGAAAAAAAAAGAGGAAGAGAACCTTGCGCGCGCGCGCGACAGCGGGAGGGAGAGGCAAAAAGGGGGATGCGGATGATGATGAGCTCCGGGCTGATACGAGGCCAGGCTGATGCGAACGATGTATCACCATCCGGGAAATTAATGTTGAAATATGGGCCTGGATGAACGATACGCGGCGCCCAGGCGGGACCAATGGGCACCACAACGAGGAAGCGCGCAGTGGCGAAGAAAGAGGATTGGCACGGCGCGGCGGCCAAGGGCGCGGAGGGGAGACGAGATTGTTACGGGATCGATTAATGAATCGTCGGGCGAAATAGTAAGGGGACGGGGATATACCGGCGCAGCCACAAATTGGACAGAGAGTTGAAGGGATGAGCGATGAAAGGAAGCAGGTTGGACGAGTGATTGGAAAGCAAATGCGAAACGCGCGTGCTGAGCTTTTGTGCCTCACAATTGATCGCGAATAAAGCTTTATTTATCTTCCACGGGCTGTATCCTTGGGCGGTTAAGCCGCTACTAAATTGAAAATACATCGCGAAGCGGTGTCTTTCCCCTCGTGCGCATATTGTACAAAATTGTTCGCGCGTCTTTAAAATTCAAGCATTCGAGCACTCTTGGCCTTTGATTTATAACACGATATCCACGAAGGATATATCTTTGGCTCCGAAGCCAAGGCTTTCTGACAAAACTAATTTTTCGAGGGTCGACGAATTCTCTTCTCTGCGCGGGACAAAATCCTGATTAACATGCGACAGAACGGCTGTACGAACGAAGCGTCCAGGCGCGAGGTAAAAGGAATCGTGGGAGAGGGTTCAAGGATGCAGGATGCGCGGAGGATGACCGAGAGGGGGGGGGAGGAAAAGAAGGAGAAGGGAGATGTACGCAAGATGATAGTGAGATATGTCTAAATACATAACCGTGACACGTGATGGACGTGTTGCGGCCGCTGTCTACGGGGGTCTCGACGAGCGGGGGCCCGGGCCGGGGCCCGCGGCGTCCCGCTACGCGCTATGCATCAACACCCGGGATCCATCCCATTATACCTCATCAAAACAACAAACACGCCTTCCACGTTAAACCAACATCCTTTTGTTCCCATCGAAGCCCGCGTATCCATCAGGATCGCCGCGCGCGAAGGGTACACGTCAGTGACGCGATCTTCTTCGACGGGGGGTCCTCCTCTCGCGGGCCCGTGAGACGGGCGGGTGTGCGGGAGGGGGTCGGGGAGGTGGAGGAGGAGGAGGAGGAGGAGGGAGCCAGGAGGAATTCGTGGAGATCTCCCGTGAAATGTTATTAATGCCGCGGGGTCAGAGGGATAAGCACGCTCGGGAAACGTCCCCCTGTAGATTTGTACCTGTCTTCGTCTCGTCTCTCGCGCCCGGTGCGCACGCAGGAATGAACGACGAAAGACGTTGATCCGTGGTAGAAAAGCGCATGCTGCGATATAAATAATCCGGGTGCTGCCCCGGCGTGCACCCGGCGAACAAGGAGGGCCCCCGGACCGAGGCGACGGGGTTTGGGAAAATTGGTCATCGACTCCGGAATCCGCCTCGGATGAGTTATCTCGTCGGAGCGGTTCGGCCATTTCAATTTGTAGAGACAAAGAGATTTATGCCACTCAAGCGGAGTGTGATAGTCACGAGGATACGGTACCAATTAATAAAAGATCATAGAAACCGGTAGGTATGTCAGTGCATTAAATGCCATGGTATTTAATGCACTGACATACTATTATCGGTTTAAAATAAAACCTTGTCGTTTAGCACAATTTTTAATTAAACGCAAGTATAAAATAATATAAATATTTAGTAATATTAATAAAATAATTTTTTTTTGCATCCCGAGACTTAATAAATGTTATAGAATTTTTAATAAAATGTTCGATCGCTTGGTACTCACGTTTAACTTTGGTAGATTGTTCCTAGATGGCAGCACATAATACTTACAAGAAACTCGATGTAATTTTGAGGATTTTATTCTGGTAGTAAACGCTTAAAATAATCACTATATATAAATTAATTCGAGATTGCAATATTCACTTAGACACAGCTAATCTTGTGTACGTGAAGCGTCAACGATAGAGATAGATTCGCGATGTCCTTCCCGACGTTGCTTTAAAACAAAATGACGCATGAAGTTTACATATATAGATGCCTGGAATTGCGCAAAGTCAATTCATGATGGATAATCACGAGGATGGATAATCACGGCTCCACGAGCTCTCCCGCGATTTCTCGCGCTTTCTCACGCTCTCTCGGCGAATAAAAGAGAGGAGGCGAAATGGCTTCCGAAAGTGTCCGAGCGGAGTCGATCGATCAGCGATGAGGCTACGGCTGTACCGAGAGCGGCTGACAGTTTATTGCCAATCATATACAACCGTAATCGGGGATGGCATCAAACGCGCGTGACCCCAATAATCCATAATGGCTCACTCGTTATGGTCGACATGTCAATCTGGCCGCGTATCTTTCGGCCACGTATATCCTCCTTCCGCTCATTTATTAGGCGATTAGACACTTCGCGTCGCAGTTCTCGCGCGACAACATTTCCACTTGGCTATCGAGTCCCGGACCAATGATTCTGTCGGTATCTCTGATTTCTAATGAATTAACTCAAATTATTTTACGCGTGTTATGCAATGTAAAAATGGAACACTTCAGGTACAGATTTTATACATCAACGGAATATGTAAATTTTTATTATTTTACATCGAAGCTATATTTTCTAGAATTTTAGAATCACTTTCAGCATTTAGAACTTTAAGCTTTTCTGATTGTGCAAGACGTTCAGGAAATGTCCAGTTAATTTTTTTCTTAGGGGATTGTTAGTGAAAAGAATTTTATGAACACACAATTAAATCTTCATCTTCGTTTTCATAATAAAAATTCGAGATGTATAATAAGTTTACATGAAGAACAAAATTTTAGTATTCAGATATAATTTGTTAAAATAATTTTATCTAAGTGGTTTCAGAATTGTTGATAGTAGAACCCCCGCTTCTTAACAATCAAGGAGATGAGCACGATTTATAGGCAACATGGTCTCATTAATATTCAAGGATTCTCCGAGAGATAACTCGTGGAACGATCGTCGATCGATAATGCAAAAAAGTGTGTAATCGTGTATAACTTGACAAACAGCGTGGAAATTAAGCACAATTGCGATAGTAATTTTAAAGAAAAGAAAAAGAAAACAGAATAAGAAATAACAGCACAAGATTGCGATCGTTTTTCCGGCCAAATTGTTACAAGTTAAATCAAGTGGCATTTTGTCTATTTTATAGTAAATTCTACATTCCATATTTTATATTAAAATATTAAATGCGCGCTCGCGCACGTGACACTTGGCGGCGAGATAGTTACCGTGGCGATTGCGCACGTGACTGATGCTTCCCGTCATCAGGAAAACTCGTTGCGGTAAAACGTCGTGAAACGCGAAGACCGTCCGTGCTTTTACGTTCCTTTCCTTTTATTTTTTTTTTCAGGTCGCCGCTACGCGAGCTCATTCCTTTGGATTGCAATAATGGCTGCGATGTTGATTAATGTTTCACTTCTGAAATTATTC